GGGCCGCATCCAGCCCCCGGGCCTTAGGTTGCCTACCCCTGGTTTAAATCCTATTTCAGTCATGGAAACTCACTGGGTAACCTTGGACAAGTCACAGTTTCTCATGCTTAAAAAAAGAGAATGACAATCTTGCTTTGAATAATCTTGCCAAGCAAACCCCATGATAAGGTTACAATAGGTCAGAGTCAACTTGAGGGCACATAACAACGAAGTGTGCTGGGGGAAATGCCTGAACTTGAGGTTCCATAAAATACTTTCCTTTGGATGTGATGATGATGATTTAATCACATAGCTGACTTGTATTTGTTAATTGTTTACCAGATCAGTTAATATGAGGGCTGTTGGCACATTAAAGACATTTCAGTTGATCCTGTTCCTTCCCAGATGATATTTAATTGCACAACTTAATGAGAATATTGCTAAAACCTAAGGGAAGTGTGATTAAATTTGAATTTAATTGAGATATCCTAACACTGATTGTTATAAGAAAAGGTCACATTTAATCTCCTTTTCCTTTATTGTAATCACACAAGACATAAATAGCCTAAAAATAAATTAAATGATTTAATCAATTAGCCTACTGATTAAAGCTAACAGTTAATAGTCAAAACAGAATCAAAGTTGATGAAAGACAGTAATCAAATGATAATGTTCTCATTGCATAGGTGTTGTACTCTCTGAAAAAGTGGAACACAATAATAGCAATTAACAAGTTAATATAGCTATAAGATCGAGGGAAAGAACACACAAGATGTCCTACAGTTGGTGTATATGGCTTCTTCAAATAGGATGCAACCAAATCACATCAGGTGAGACCTATGTTGACAAACTCAATTTTCATATCAAATAATATGTATTTGGAGACTGAGGCAGTCATCCATCAAAGACACAATAAATTAGAAGTGGAAGCCAGAGAAGGAAACAATGAGAGCTAATAACCTGTAGGCAGGTAGCTCACTTCATAGGTAACCAGGAGGATAAATAAGCAGGTAACCCAACACCAGAACAAACTGCTAATACCAAAGAGTTCAGACAAATACGTCAGCTTTATAGGACTAGGTTGGCGCTGTTTTACTACCCTGTCCCTGTTGGGTTGGAATCATAGAATTATAGAGTTGGAAGAGACCACAAGGGCCATCCAGTCCAACCCCCTGTAGCTGTAGTGTCATCCCCAACCATTCAGTGATGCAGAGGCATGCAAGAAGAAACCTTTGGGTAGGATACATACTCACTTTTATTCATTTCCTGGCTAAAAAATACATTTCTCAATAGTTGGGAAAACTAATTGGGAAGAATAAAATAGTGGCAGAAATTTTGCACAATTTTTGCCTGGGATATGCACATCTCAAAGAATGTCAGAAAATTATTATGTGCAGAAATACACATT